CCCCAAAACCCCAAAACCCCAAAACCCCAAAACCCCAAAACCCCTTAAACGCAAGTTCAAAAGAAATTTAAATAATCCAATATGAAAACTGGCGCAAACTCTTCAGGAATAAAGACAGTAGAAGACTTTAAAGTTATATCCGAACTAAACACAGGTAATTAAGCTCATATAATAGACCCTCTGCTTCGGACTTTCTTAGTTTATAACAGATACATTAGGATGTCTATTATAATTATAATCAAGGTTGTATTCCAGCCAAAAATTTGCCCTCAAATAATTCAGGCGTCCTCGGATGTCTAAATCCCGACCCTTCAGGTCTTATTTCCATGAGAAATCCTTGACCCTAGCTGGGTGGTAGTCACTGCTCTTACATGGACATTCATAGGCAATTTTGGAGATTCCTTAAAAATAATGCGCATATTTCTAAATTCAAAATTTTTGCCCAAAATTTATTGACCTGACTAAGCTTACATAGGTTGCTTTGGAAAGGTATCAAAAATAGAAGAAATCGAGACGGGAGAGATCCTTGTATGGAAAGAAATAAATTACAAAAATATTGATCAAAAGCAAAGGAAGTTAATAGTCACCGAAGTCAACATCATGCGGTCGCTCGACGATGACAATATTGTGAAGTATAAGTATAGAATTAATGAGAGAACTGAGGAGAAGCTCTATATTGTGATGGAGTTCTGTGAAAAAGGCGACCTCAAGCAGTTTATTGATAAGAGAAAGAAATCAAAAGAACCTATTAGTGAAGAATTCATCTGGAATTTACTTACTCAAATGCTCCTCGCTCTTGATGCTTGCCATAGCAATAAAGAAAGAGTAATCATTCATAGAGACATCAAACCAGGAAATATCTTTATTGATAGATTCGGCCAATTCAAACTAGGTGATTTCGGGCTTAGTAAAGAACTTTCAGAAAGTTCTGTATGTGCAAAGACCAACCTTGGAACACCATATTATATGTCTCCAGAGCAAGTGAAAGGGAGCGAGTATGACCAAAAGTGAGATATATGGTCACTTGGATGCATTATTCACGAAATGGCAAGCTTAGAAGTCCCTTTCAAGGCTGAAAATTACCTTAGACTGGCTGAAGTCATTTCCAAGGGTATAAAATCACCTATTCCAGACAGATACTCAGAAGACCTTCAAAAATTCATTGACATCCTAATGCATAAAGACCCTAGGCACAGACCAAGTGCTGACAAATTACTCTATCATCCAAGAATTTCTGAGTGTCTTACCAATATCAACCTCAAAAAGCGCATTAACCTCAAAATAGAAAAGGAGGAATTTATCAAAAGACAAAAAGAGGTCTTCCTAAAAGAGCAAAAATTAAGACACAAAGAAAGAGAACTTGAACGCCTCAACTCCAAATACCTCAAAAGAGTCAAGGAGCTGAAGGAGCTTGAAAAGAATTTAGAAAGAAGGCATTCAAAAATGAAAAATTTAGCAACAAATCCCGACTTCTCCCGAAATATGAAGGGAAATGACCTCCGAAAACTCAACAAAACTGTTGATCAGGCCCAAGATATGTCCGTGATCAATGGGTCTCAAGAGAGACATATTGATACCTCTCTCAAGGTAGAGAGGATGAGTTACGACCTGAAGGAAGTTGACTATAACATAGAGAATATCAATACTTCCAATAGAAATCTTCTGTCCTCAACATCCTCTTATTCAGCGAATAATTATAAGAACTTGAGCAGTCATGAATCTAAGAATTTAAGCAGTTCAAACAATTTTGATGATTCTCAGAAGGATATCAACAGTAGTCTGACTAAAAGACCTGGACAAATCAGATGTGAACTCTATGGGAAAAATGTCAAAATCAATCTTTGTAATGATGACAATAGTAATGGCAGCACAGAAAATTATAAGGCCATAGGAAGTAACTGTTTGAATAATGACAGCAGAGATAAAATACACTCCTTAATGACCAGAGATACTGCAACTATTGTCGCCAAGAAAGTTAAGAATGCTCTTGAAAACCACATGGCTACAAAAGAGAGATCCTTCGAGACTAACACTCTAAATACTACCAGAGGACTTCCTCCAAGTGGTCAGAAGCAGATTCAAAGAACTTCTTTAGAGGTTGCTAAGCAAACAGAAAGTAATAGTGGAAGCAACCCAGAAGGAGGCATCAATCTCTCTAGGAACTATTCTACTAATTTCCTTCAAAATGCTAACAATGATGAAGGCAGTAGGAATAGACTAGGAAATCGGAAGAGTATCCCTGTCTCTTTCAGGACAAATAGTGTCGAAAATCTTCATGCTGCTCAAAATATCCAATGAGGGAATCAGACAATTCAGCGGAATTTGATTCCAAGCCATCTTTCCAATATGAAAGTGGCAAGCAACCTGAAGTTAAAGAAGACCAACAGTACAAGCATTGCTAAGCCTCCAATGCGGACAAACTTTGTGAAGACTGGGGTAGATCAAAACATTCTCAAAAACTTCAAGAAGTTCTCTGCTGGATCTAAGAACTCTTTAACCAGGAAAAACTTCAAGACATCATCTAGCACCACAGATTTGAAAATTAATGGAACAAGTGCTAGCTCTCGTGATGGGTTCCTTGCTACAGGGAGGTACCCTTTTACTAATGTAAAATCGATCGCAACACCAAAAGAAATGATGGTAAATACTTTTGAACTCAAGAACACTTCTACCACCAGGAGGCCTAGTATTGAAAGCCGTCAGAAGATTCCATACCGGAACGAAAAGGAGCTCTTCCACAAAAATGGAAGTGTGACTAACAGGACCACCAACAGACCATTCGGAGAAGACGATTCCTTGATGATTGACAGGAACATGCACAATCCTTCCCTGAACTCCTTTATGAAGCGGAAGCAATCAAAGAACCATTAATTTATAAATTATCATAATTTTTGTGGTTATCTTGAATGGGGTTTTGGGGTTTTGGGGTTTTGGGGTTTTGGGGTTTTGGGG